TTTTGCTTGCCTCCTGGAGTGTGGTTGTACCTTGGTTCAGTAGACTTTGTTTTTCGAATTCGTTTCTATAACATTAGGTTTCTTTGTGTTGCTGCTATGTCTTTTCATGTGTTTTACAGGATTGCCATCTATTGATGAATACCACTCTGAGGCACTCTCACGAGCGAAGGTGTTTGAGAATCCATGTCGGAATGATGGTCGTGTTGGCCTAAAGGTGCATTACATTGCCGATGCTCGCCACCTCCACCCTGGAACATGTTCAATTTCTGTTTCGCGTATGGAAGGACCGAACAGTTTGTTTTCCTGCCTCAGTGGACCACTCAAGACTGAACAGCACTGATGGAAGAAGATTTGCCGTGAATCTCGTTCACATAATCAGCCTGTTTAATTGCTGTACTGAGGTGACTGCTTCATAACAATGACCATGCAGCATTAATTTTTGCATAGTACTTTAGTGCCCCTAAAATTGGAGAATATCGAATTTCTCTGCTAGCATTGTGATTCTTTTGTGAATAAACATCACTACTCTTTTTGAGTAGCATAGCAATGACAGAGTTGGTTTGATGTATGACAAAAATGGAGCTGCTTTTTTAACCTGTACTGTATAATCAGTACCGCCGGAAGCAGTTTTTGATCGGTCTGGTAGTTTCATGGCCTTTTATACTTTGTGTGTGATATGGCGGGTACACACGTCCTCCACAGCAGGAAACATTTGTTGGTGGCCAACAAGTTGGTCCGGTGATAACCCGACCAACCAGACCGGTTCCGGTGGGCCTGATAATTGTGGGGTTCATGAGCAGCTCAAGTACTTAGCATGGTTTTGGACATGTCCTCATTTGAAACCAACTTCACCCAAGCGTTCTCTGAGGGGACCGAGGTCTACTCTATCAGTTCATGTATTCTGTGAAGTGACATGACCATTCGTGGGGACCTTGCTCATAACTGCAAAAGTCCTTGTCTGATTTTTCCGCAGCAATTGAACGTTGTACATGTGCATGTAGTGAAAGCCACATGCAAAAGGCTGTTCTATGGCACCATGCCACCAAGCTCTGGGTTCATTGGCTGAAAATATTCTTCGGCACAGTAAAGTCGTGCGCCCAAGATCGTGGAAGCCTAGAACATCCAGCCTGGAATACTAAGAACACCACAGCCCAAATTTAAGAATTGTGGTGCTGGGTTTGTGCTGTTGTAAAACATGGGGATTGTTATTGATTGTCATGTTGTACATGTATTTGAGCTTTACCACTACATACACGTCTGTCTATACACAATACTCAATCTGCGGACAGCATGCTGTTTTGCTCATCAATGCAGCACAGAGAAAATGAGGCAGATGAATGTCCTGCTAGAGAGCATCGAATATAGGTATAGAATCATGCCTTGCAGATCTCGTTACGGCCCCTTCGATGCATGCATGTTTGAACATTAGATGGCTGTGTAGCTTCAGTTATCTCAGAATATTTATTTATCCAGCAGCAACAACGTTGGGCACCGATTAACTGACACACAACTATTCACTATAATGAGTATGCGTTGGAACACTTTACCCCGAGTCATACTATAGCAGTGAATGCCATGCATGGGTTTACCTCACAAACTGAATGTCATAATTTGACATCCAAATCACAGAAGAGTGAGTGGTGTTCCAAACTCACTCCATGTCCTGCGAGCTCCAGTAGAATACTTTAATAGAATACTTCTTATAGCACGTTCTTAGAAACAAATCGTATAGGTTTGAGGCTGTCAACCCAGAAATTTGTGATTTCACAGCCATAGATGTTACCAGTCAGGTCACTGTATACAGTAGGTATGCAGAAGAAAATAATAGTAACTCTTTGTGGAAGAGCTGTGCCAAAATGTGTACAGTACAGTAAATTAATAAAAAGTGAGAAAAGCAGTGACAAGGCTGTGCATGATGTAGATCCACCAGTAAGTACAGTGTACCAGTGAAACTGTTGGTGTAGTACTGGTATACCACTATAATGATGGCATGGCCCATGCCACTACAATCTATTTGCAGTGGGCCGCAGTAGGGCAGTGCAACAGAAAGCAATTCAGTAGCTGTGTGCAATGTGAACATCTATGACATGCAAGTAAACTGCCATACAGCACAATCGATTACTCTCAGCCCACATAAGTACAATGTAGGCCAATCAGTAGTATAGATACATAGAGCACACTCTGCATCATACATAGTCAGCAACAAATCTATACTGTCGATGTACTTTGCAATGATGAAATGATGGCAAGCGTGCTTGATTCATCATAATACTGCCTTGAACTTGGTTGGAAGTTAGTTGTAAGTTCAGTGGTCGGGGTAAGCAGAGCTGCTCCAGCTTTCAGAATCCTGCATGAAAAAGGCAGAAAGCAAACCATTGCCTTTGGGTTATCCGTCATAATAAAAATAAAAATAATAAATGTAGGTATAATAGTAGCAAGCTGACGTAAAGAGCCTGTCTTTCAATCCAATAATTCTATCCACTGCATGGACAGACCTGGTGCTTCATTCACCTCTGTTTCTTGCTTTCTCAGAAAACCTACTTCCTCCTTCTGCCATCTAGCCCATGACATACATTTTCTTTACGCCTTTTCAGCCGTGGTCGACTTTCGCCCCTCCTGTTTGATTGGCAATTGCAGTCAACCTGGGGAATACTGACCCTCGACTGTGAATGAAAAAAGTGTCGCTATTGGTGTATTGTTGTTACTCGTGAGGTTGGAAGTATGCAATCAAATGGTCACTAGATCTGAAGATTGTTATTTGCGAGTTGTTTTGTAAACCCGAGGTACATTATTCACAAGTTGGATTGTACATGCTATGGGATGTAGAATAACTAATCAAACAAGAATGGTGTAACACTGATTGAGTCCATTTCCAATTGGATGAACCTAGAGCGCATGATCCATTCCAGAAAGGCGACTTCAGTGAGTCTTGAATTGTCAGCAGCATCATACTTCCATTGAGCTTTTTTCTTTCTTTTTCGAAATGACCCTCTCTTTTCAATTCGAACGAAGGTCAACATACGATTACGGCAGGCATGCACGCACTGATCTTCACTGTATACATGTGCATGTATACTGTACTGTAGTCTGTACAGTCAACTAGTCGTGGTCCACTTGGCTTACGGTAAGTGTCACTACAAGTGCATAGTAGCCCCCCCCCCCCCCCCCGGGAGTGCGTGTGAACAGGAACTGTGAACTGGTAAAAGAATTATTCGACACCTTCGTTCGTTTCGATGGAGAAGGTTCATTTGGCAAATTGAGGCCTTCGTTTCACCCCTAGCCCCAGGAGCGAAATTTGGCTGCCTGTTTGAGCCGTCCTTGTGGAAGGGTTGATTTATGCATGCTCGCATATAGACCTTATTCGATAAACGTCACGATCACGTGAACCGGGGACCAGGGAGCGGCAAGAGACCTGCACTCAGTGCACAGAGGACTCGTCGTGGGAACATAGGAACAGAAAAATACCGGTATTTTACTACTCCCTTGTACGAACTGGGCCTTTCTTGCCACTTGTTTCACGTACGCGTGCCCCAGCTTACGACAAATCCCTGGAGGCGAGTCCAAAAATCACGTATGTATCTACATATACAATGTAACCGTAACTCTACCAATGTTGCGGACGATGACCCCCCCCCCCCCTCCGGCATACAGAAAGTTGCTATGTCCTGGCCCTCATACAGCATTGCGGAGGCACTGAATCACTTCTGCAAAAAGGACTAGCCGAAAGTGGCACAACAAATTTCTATTCCCAGAAAAGCGGTGTTCCAGCCGAGTTTATCTTCTAATTAAATGGTTTTCTCGGTTGGGATTTCATACCTGACAACCATCCCGACATCGAGGGCGGTAATAGGCACCCAAAAGAGCATTAGTTCCATGCCTCACCGCGAGGTATATTTGTATACATTTTCATGCCTAGGTATGTCATTCGATCTCAGGTTTGCAAAGGTTGGCAGGTATGGGATTTGTAGAGTGACCAGTTCTGACTATTGCCACCTGCTGCGCAGAAGTGTCATTCCTACATCCTGGCTGCAAACATACCTCCCCCCCCCCCCCCCCCCCCCCCCCACACACACCACCACCAACAATGTTGGATCCTATTTACAGGACCTCACTCTATATGAAAGTGTAGCAGAGGCACTGCCAAAGTATAAAAACAACATTTGAAATGCAAGCTCCATTGTGCATGCATGGAGGGCACATAGGGAAGAGACTGAGAGGGTGAAAGTGAAGGAAATTTGTTCCGAAATCAAGAGAATCCGAGGAACCCTTGCTGCATTCTTCAGTTCGATAACGTCAGTGGGTGCATCTCAGATGTGTTGTGTGCCCAGACATACAAGTAGCACTAACCTGAGCATGAGAGCTGCTTGTCATCATCGTGGTCAGGAAAACGAAAGGACGAACGAAGAAGATTGCTTAACAGTGCATATCCAGACGACAGACGGCTTGCCAGAATCAGTCTGGTGCATCTTCAGGAATCTTCTTTCCTAATCGCATTCAGCAGTCAGCTTCGAGGTCAAGAGCGCGATGATATTTTCAGAAGGAATAATTTTCAATTTTTTTTAAATTTTGGGGAAGAAGCGCTTCCTTTCTAAAAAAAGCGTTCCTTGCTTTCACGCAAGATGCCTTGCGGGACATGTCGTCGACAGCACAGTGTCGGCAGATCCACGTTTGTAGGCTGCAGACCCGGCAGACGTTTTGATCAGCCCGGCCCGGTGGTGAGATTTTGGACCCGGGAGTACTAAAAACTGCTCGCATCCCAGGGTGCTCAGTTTCGCTCTATCCGATCGAGTAAGGCTTCCAGAAAGGCCCTCAGGTGCGCGGCCTGCGGTGCCATAATATACCTCATATATGCGCATGAATGACATCATGCATCGATGGCCGGCGCGGCGCGGCCGGAGCTTAGCCGGGTCTGGGACCGAGAGCAGTTTGTTGCGTAACAGCGTCGCGCGCGATCGCGTGATTTGCCAAACGTAATTTTCTCCATTTTTTCCCTTTTCGTTTCACGTGCTGCTGTTTGTACGAAAACGAACGTGCAACCCAAAACCAATTTCAAGGTTTGTTTGTCATCAAGCGTTTCCTCACGATTCAACCATGGCTTCTCGTCTCGTGTCCCTCGTTCGTCCTTCCCGGGTCCAGGCTGTCGTCAGAGCAGCTCGCTGTGTCCAGCATCTGGGAAACCCATGTGGCGTCCAGCAGGTCCGCTGGCAATCAGGTACATATTTCCAGATAATTTTTTAGCTGCCACCTACTTTTCCCATGCCCACACCTTCTGCATCCAATCCGTATTTACTTGTAGGCGGAGTTACTGAGGCCAGTAGTGAACTCGTGGAAATTCTGAACAAGGAGCTCACCGCAGAGCAGGACAACTTCGATGGAAAGATTGAAATTCCAGAGGGATGGACCATGAAGGTACAGGCACACAAAAAAATCGTCAATATTAAACTTGATACTAGTGTACACTGTGTGCTGTGTACATGTATGTACACGTGGGTAGTTGACTGACAGACCTACGCACTCTGTCTGCCACATTTCTATATCTGTAGTGTACATTCTAACACTAAGAAGTCTGTGTGTGTGGGGGATGTTCTTGCCTGGCATGAATATACTCAGGATGGGTTGATACCAGTCTGGTGTTCTTGCATTTTTTGCACGCGTGCAGTGAAGCTTGCGGATAACCACACCCCGTCGGGCAAGCCAAAAATGCCCTTGTCCGATCCGTGACTATCTGAGGAGCATTTAAAAAAAATCAATACAGTCATTTAAAATGTAAAGAATAATATGATGGGGAATCCTGATGTTGATTTGAATGAACCTTGAGCTGGGCATATTATAATTATGCCTATTTAGAAGTTCCATGAAATCCGCTTGCATAGAACTTATTTGGGACTCCTGCTGATAATTCAAAGGTAGACAGGCATAATTCGAAGTTCATTGCACACTGTACATTGATTCGAAATGCCCCCCCCCCCCCCCCCTCCCATCAAGTTGTTGTGCAGTGCACGCACTGATCGTGTGAGTATATCTACCACTGTTTGAGCTAGGTCTTCTTGACACTCATATTGGCTGCGTTCCTTGCACCTGGGCACAGACGCGCACACGTGCACTACGACAATACGAGTGCTATACCATCACTCATGCTGTTTAAATTCACAGACGTAGGAGATCTACGCTGCACAGATCGAAGTGCATTTGCAACACAGGCTGTCGTTGGTCGAAATACAGAGATCGTACAGATAAACCGTGCACCATATGCAAAACTACTTTGAAGTACAGTAAAACCTGGTTAACCCTTTTAGCGTGCATGGTTCGAAATCGAACCATAGAAACTCGGGCACTCACGCATGTACTCTATTGATCGTAACCCAGTCAAATCCCAACCGAAACTCAAAAATCGAAACACCTAGCAGGTAGCGGAGAGTCTCGGCTGTCGGCCCGAACAACTCCCAGCTCTCTACGATGAAGTGTGAGCGAACCACGTGCGATCGAACTTTAACGCTTTTGCGCAGAACAGGGATTTCCCCTGTCCCTGCCACGGCTGAGTGTGACATCACTCCCAAAGAAGATGGCCACGGAGTGGCATGTTCTCGAAGTTTTTCGACCAAAGGAAAGTCACGTGGCAGGACGAGCGTGTTTGGCGACTTGACCTGGAGTTATGGCGCTCCTGGTTGCGGCGGACAGTAATGGATCCTGTTGATGAGTTTGGGACCGTTGTTTTCCTCTCTCCAAGAGCTTTCCAGCGAGCCCAAGATCATCAAAATCGGTGAAGTACAACTGATGTTATGGTTGAAAATCGAACGATTAGTAATCACATTGTTGCAAATTTCGTAGCGTGATTTGACCAGCGGCACTCTAAAGGGTTAAAGTGACCCCCTACCCCCAGTAAAATACAAGGTCCCATACCTTTGTGGCATACCGGACCATGCACATACATGGTATGTTCCATGTACTAGTACTCATATTGATGAATAGTGGGCACAGAATACGTTCATGTTGACCAAGCACCCGTGGGTTTCACACTTCACTCAAGCGCATGCAGTGCACCTTGCGCAGTCACTTGTCACTTTCGCTCTACGTTATGGGAGCGCGGCATGAAGAATCCCAGGCACACTCTTTGCGTTCCCGTAAGGTAAAGGAAACCTTCTCTGCTCTATGTTCACGTAAATAAGTTAATAAGTCATGTGGAATGTGTATTGCGAATTTCCCGTTCCAAATTTGGCAGTTTTCTGCCAGTGTCGAAGAATGCAACAAACTTGAAATTTTCACTAGCTTTAATAGTATTTGTTTCTTCCTCGTACCTACATGACCAGCTTCTGGAAGTAAACAGAACAAGTGCAAGTGTTGGCGTGTGTGCATGTTCGTGTGTTTTTTTGGTGGAATTTAGGACGAAGCCAGTTACCAATTTACCCTGGAGAAGACCGAGGGAAACCTGACGTAAGTTTGTGTACCACCTTCCACGCGTCCACAATCACCATGATGCCTTTCAGGAACTTGAAAGCTCTTCTTGTCGTCAGTAGCATTGGCTCAAACCTCATATTATGTGGGCCGTGTATAGTGTAGATATGCTGCATAGTGTATAGTGTAGATATGCTGCATAGTGTATAGTGTTGATATGCTGCATAGTGTATAGTGTAGATATGCTGCATAGTGTATAGTGTAGATATGCTGCACAGTGTATAGTGTAGATATGCTGCATAGTGTATAGTGTAGGTATGCTGCATAGTGTATAGTGTAGATATGCTGCATAGTGTATAGTGTAGATATGCTGCACAGTGTATAGTGTAGATATGCTGCACAGTGTATAGTGTAGATATGCTGCAGTTTGTAGGCACCCCACAAGAATAGGTGGATGGTATTGAGTACTTAGTTGCATGACATTGTGTATGTGGTGAGTGCTTTGTTGTACCCGACGGTATTGGATACTTTTACTTGTATGTTGTGAGTGATTTTTTGTACAAGTGCTGTATCTGTGCATGCCATCTTTGGGCACCTGGCCTCTTTCTTGTTTCATATTGACCTTGCCTCAAAACGCATTAAATTTTATGTTTTTTTCACCTCTTCAGTATCTCCGTTGAGGTCGATATTAACAACCTGGAGGAAATTGACACTGGTCGCATGGACGAGCCTGACGCGCCACCCGCAGAGGGCGAGGGTCCCCAGGTACGTTCCATTATTTGGTATGGCAAGCTTCCAAGTGCTTTGGAATGTCCCTGAATCACTGTGTACAGAGTATTGTTTCTGTTTCTGTTGGACAATTGGGCATCCTGAAAAGCTGCCGACGAATGGAACACTGACAGGATACAGTGAAAAACCCGCACCTGTCGCAAGTTTTCTGTGACGCATTTCTGAAGTTGCTTCGCACCATAGAAGAATTATTACGCCAGCTGTGATGCAGTACCGGTTAAATTATTCCCTGCCATGAATTATGGGGTTGCACCATGTGCTAAAGTGCACATCCTGTCCAGACTCTTTAGCCGACATTGTGAATTTCACTTGAATACCTCTTGTCTGGATATCTCCAATGCAGGCGTGGTTGCCCACTGGGATAATGGCAGCAAGATTTCTATGTCACTCTTTATTTTCTATACTGTGCATTGGTTCGATCAAGTTTTATTGTGCTTCAGTACACGTGTTCCAATTGGACTTCGTGGTGTTTTTTTCCTGTGATTTTGCGTTTTTTGTAATGCTTACCTCTTGTTATCTTTGTTCCTGTGGTTGGTGTTTATGTTCAGTACATGCCTAACTTCTCCATCACTGTTGCTAACAAGAACGTGAGTATTTGTGCCTATGCTACACACGTATGTCTTACAATGACTTGCATTTGATGCGCTTGTCCTGCGGGCTCCAACAATAGCAGTAGCCGTAGCAGGCTGGCAGCAGCAAGTTATTCTACGTTATGCCTGAAAGAGCTTGCTGTATGATCTTAGTGTACTGACTTTTGACAGGCTTCCTACTCAACGTGCAGAAGAACACTGACGTTTCGAATCTGGTATAATTCTAAGGTCCTAGGTTTTGAAGCGTCATAGCGAAATTTGATTTTTGATCGAGCCTGTCTATATATCGGGAATGGGTGTGTCCACCCGAATTCCTTATTTCTGTCTATGTATGTATGTATGTCCGCAGATTGAGTATGTATGTATGTATGAAGATCGATCGACTGAGGTGTGTCACTGTACTCTGTACATTGTTTGTGCTTATTCATAATGGCACAGTTGAGAACTCATGTGATGATGTTCAACGCACATTGAAGGCTCCAGACATCATACGTAATGATGTCCAGTATGCGTATTGGCATAGTACTGTAGTTTGTGGATGGTAACGGCGAAGGGTCCAACGCCCATCACGAATCCAAAGCAAGTGAATGTATTTTTTCAAAATTTCTTCCTTTGTGGAATTTATGACGGTGCATTGTCTTCTTTCTGTTCATATCGTGTAGGCGACCGAGCATGCTCGCTTCTTCTGCACATTCGATGAGGGTGCAGAGGGTGACATGGTGTTCACAGTGAATGAGATGTGCCTTTTCAAGCCTGGACAGGAGGAGCAGGTCTATGAGAGGAAGGTCTACCATTGCAACGCAGCTGTTCTCGATGCGGTATGTTACACTTCAACTCTAGTTCTTGTTGTGTACTGTAAAGGGGAGAGCTGTCGCCAGAGAACAACATTTTGCAACGCAACAAACACCTGAGCTATGCGCTGTAACTTTTGGCATGTGTCCAATCTGAGCTTCTGCTTGCAATAGCGATACCTGAAGTCTGACGCTAACTTGCTTTTCTTTCATTGTACTCTTCATTTATGTGTTTGCTGCCCAGGATATGTATGAGGGTGTGTTGAAATTCCTGGAATCCGTCGGTGTCGATCCCTCTTTCTTGGAGTTCCTTATTGGCCACACGCAGTCCTACGAGCAGGGAAAATACATTGACTTCATCAAGGGAGCAATGTCAACATTCAAGGCATAATTGCTTTAGTGGATGAGCGGTACTTCTCACTCACACTCCTCTTGGTCTCATCCATTGGTGCTGTGTGTGCGTTTCACAAGAAGAGGTAGACACTCCAACCTGTGTTGCCTCTTTATAGTGGACTCTGGAAAAGTTAATCAATTTCAGTATGTGCTGCTTCCCTGTAAGGGCTTGGTTTCGCAATGTTTACTGGCTCGTGTCTTTTTCGGATTTGTGCGCCGAATGAATGTATATGAATGCCATCCGGTATGTAGTTCGAACTTGATGTGAGTTTTGCCACCGCCTTTGCTTCACCACCAGCCATCAGTGCAAGCTGTGTATTCTGGAACTGATCTACTCCTGTTCCATGTACCATGTACCTGTAGTAATCTGATTTCTGTAGATTGCTACACACAGTGTGCACGCCTGCCTGCCTGCCGGCACGCTGCACCCTAACCTCTATACATAAGTGTTCCTGTAGACGAATGAATGGGAGCTGCATTCGTTTGCCATCCCTATTGTATTTGCACAGAATGATAACGCTACCAGTTGTTCATGCTGTATTTATATCCTGTGACCTTTGCTGTCATTGCCTTGCATATACTGCTGCTGCTGCTGCTGCCTGGAGCCGTGTGATTTGATTCTAGAATATACGCTACATGTGCGTATGTGCTGGTGCTCTTTGCTTTGCTGGTGCCATGCTGCCATGCTTGATCAGTTACTGTATACGCATGCGGCCAGTGGACTGTCAGTACGGTGGGCTCATTTACTACGGGATCATGCATGTCTTGCCGGTGTGGTCATGCTTGTCTTCACAAGGCACAGATGTACTGCGTCCAACATGTGTATGCACCCGCATTCGTGTGCGTGTGTGAGGATGAGGATGAGGATGCGTATACATGTACCCTTTTCCTTTCATATCTGAAGTTGTCCTGGCCTTCTCCCAGTGTGGCTTGGGTTAGCTGCGGCAGTGCCGTACTACCGGTATGCCTATGGTTGGAAGGTTTTTCAGGGGAACCCTGTGCGTCCTGCCAAGCTAGGAGCAAGAGTCATGACTCCACTCTTGACTTGGTACATGCACTGCAAACGTGAGTCAAGTGCGGGCTCACGTCGTTTCTCCAACCTGCTTCTTGTACTCTTGTATTGACGTCTTTCTCAGGACAACAAGAGGACATGAAAACCGGAGGTTAGCCCCCTTGGAGGTGGGGGACTCTTCGAAGTAATAGTTCGAGCCTTGCTCGATCGTCTTGCAGTTGCAATGACTTGCATGCAGCATGGAGACCCTCATTGAATGTTTTGCCCGTACAAGACTGTCAAGAGGCATTAGCAGCATCAAGAGTACATAAACAGTTTATGTACTCTTGGCAGCATGGAGACCCTTGTTCCTACTGGTTACCATGGTTACTCAGTTGTCATGGTCCGGGACCGAGTACGATTTTTTTTCTGAGCATTCATGTGCGATGATCGAATGACGAAAAACTAAAAAAAGTAGATTCATTAAATTTTATGCATGATTCACATTGATTTTGATTTTTTTGATTTTCGAAACATCCTTCAAAAAGCCATTGCATGGTATTGTCTATTGAGGTGAGCTCTCGACTCTCTCTCATTGCTGGATGCTGTTCACAAGTGCATGTTTGTGACCCAAGGAAGTTGTATCAATTGTACCAGTGCAAGGATAAAAGGCTAGGCAGCGCTATCTTATCCTTGAGTAGAGTAGCATGTAGCCATGTCACTGCCCACAGCTAGATTGCTGTCGCCCTGCAGTCACTTCGTGCATCTGCATTGCATAAGACAGGTAAGGAGCACGAACACCTACAATGTACAGCTCCAGGCTTGCTTTGAGGATAATATGACTTGTCCAAATAATCTAGACTTGAGCATTCACCATCCTTTCCATTGCAGAAACGAAACCAATTTTACTCTAGGTATAGTTTCAGGTTGAACTGCTTCCAGTACTGGCAGTAGGCCTATCTTAGGTGTGAATATCCACTTCCCGTAGGCCTATCTTAGGTGTGAATATCCACTTCCAGTAGGCCTATCTTAGGTGTGAATATCCACTTCCAGTAGGCCTACCGTATTATCTCTAATACAGTGTTGCCAACCGCCCGTATTTGTCCGTATTTTTACGGAAAAACGAAGTTTTGTCCGCAGTACGGATTTCAATCAAATATCCCGCAAACGATCATGTGTATGATCGATTACTAAAACCATCGCAACTCCATCGTTTCTTGTGCAAATTCAACAATCCAAGAGTCTACGTGGTAGCAGAAACACCAAGCTGTCCAATGTAACAATCGCTGAAGTGTTACGATGTCGGACTCCAGAGATACCGCGCGCCGTATTCAGGTATTCTTATTAAAATCAAATTTTTCGATTGAACTCTTCGCCATTTTGGGGGAAATCGGGCCCTTTTTTGTGTGCTCTTTGAGCGACTGAGCACTTTATAATGATGTGGCCGGCGGAAGTTTGAATCGCCTGGAAAAAAATTGAGCGTTCTGCGATGCATGCAGGAGTGTAGAATGGTGTTGATGGGACGATGTGCTTGCATACTAGGCTTGGAGACGACTTTGCTGTGTTACCGCGCCTGATTTGTGGCGGCTTCATAATGGAGCTTGGCATCCTGGCGTTGCTCCTGCCTAGAGCTTTCCAACGAGCCCTAGATTATGAAAATCAAGCAAAGTAGACCAAAGTTATGACCTGGTGAAGTTGAAAATTGTACTGAATTCGTGCGTAGGCTTCAAAAGTGAACTAGATCAGTCAAAATGTTGACTTTAAAAAACGAGTACGGAAAACTCGGAAAAATTATGCAAAATGGCACTGGGCCATACGCATGGGGGTAGAGGGCACTTGGTAACACTGCTAATATAAGCACGGTCCTTTATTTTTTCAATATACCTCCGCCCCATGCTATTAATGGAGACGTTTCTTTATTGGAGACTGTTCCATTATTATTTCAACCTCATTTCAGAGGCATGTTGCCATGCCAAATTTATATGTCAGACACACACATTTCTGGGTTTTTTCGCCGGTACAGATAATGAATTTACACAGTGTGCTTATAATGGAGACTGAGCACTTTATTTTTTGAATGCCGCCCCAAGGTGTTCTATTATTGGAGACTGTGCTATTATTGGAGACTGTGCTTATATTAGAGATAATACGGTATCTTAGGTGTGAATATCCAAACTGCTTCCAGTAGGCCTATCTTAGGTGTGAATATCCAAAAAGCAGAGCATGGCGGAACGATTCATTTACGGTTAAGGATAAACGTCAGCACATTGATTGGTGTCCAATAATATTAACAATATAAATAGGAAATATGCGATAGAAAGCAGTCTAATTTGAGTACATGTAGGATGTCACATCATGGACGAGATATAGTATGTTGTATCCAATAAATGTGTCTGGCACACCCAGAATACACACGGCGCATACCGACTGATAAAGCGACAGCCGAAATACGATACCGGCCAGAGAAATCCAGCCTCATGAATAAAATAGCACCGGGCAGTATGCAGCCCTAGCACTACACTCACTGTTCTGTGCACTCTAAAGTGGCGTTGCTATATTCATGAGGTTGGATTTCTTTGACCAACACTGTACGTGTACACTGTATCACCATGACTACATCAGTACATGTACCACTAACAAAAGTACATACACCGGAGTGTTCAGTACATGTACCACTAACAAGAGTACATACACCGGAGTGTTCAGATGTATCACTAACAAGAGTACATACACCGGAGTGTTCAGTACATGTACCACTAACAAAAGTACATACACCGGAGTGTTCAGATGTATCACTAACAAGAGTACATACACCGGAGTGTTCAGATGTACCACTAACAAGAGTACATAAACCGGAGTGTTCAGTACATGTACCACTAACAAGAGTACATAAACCGGAGTGTTCCACTTTGCACATGAGTTCTAGACAGTGTATTTTCGTTGTTTGCATTCTCGATGTCAAGACAGAGTAAAAAGCTCATGTCACAAGTTGTACTAATACAGTGCAACACTGTAGTCGCAAGTCGTAGCTGCCTCGATTCACCAAAATGATGTCAACAATGATTTCTGGTTTCTGAAATTGATATTGACTGCAATGTATATTCGTATCGTGTGGTTTATGTACTTTTTCCATGCTAATTCTAATGAGTTAACGAGGAGAAATTTGTCGTTAATAGAAATCGCTATAACAGAAATCGATACATATACTGTTCTATTGAGCGTTGAGAATGAGCGAGAATCGTTACCTTTGGTACACATAAACCAGTCAATTTTGGGAAATCGTTAAAAATGCGTCTCGTTAGAATAGTGGCTTTTACAGTAGCTGTTTTGCGTATGTGTTGGAAACTATGAGGAGGCTTTCTTTCTTCCTTTCATATATTATCATTAAAAATCTGTATAATCTCTTCGTTCATTTCACATTTCTTAATTTTGCGTGGGATTTGGGAGCACACCAGGCGCGAAGTGACAGTCTGCAGTTACCATGGATACGACTTGGTATTCATGGATACAGCACGGGTTAGAATATTTTGAATACCGGTACTCCTTGTTTGGAAAGTATTCGAAAAAGGAATAATTTTTTACTTCACTTTAAGGGTATAATCCTCGTTTTTGAATTACGCTGTAGGTCTTTGTAGTTCTCTGTTCTTTGCACTGCACTGCACTGCACTGCACTCTATGCCAGTAACTGTGGCAGTGCACGGTATACAGCTTCATACTGCAAATTACTGCGAAACATTCCTTGCTACTGCTGCATGATGGCATGCACAGTATGAATTGCAGGACATGCACTGTATGATGGCATGTACTGCTATTGTGTGATGGCATGTGTGTATGTGTACTGCTGCTCTCCATCTGCAGACACTGCGTTCTGTCAGCACTACTTCGGCGCTACACAGGCACGTCAGTCACAAGAAAACGTTTGCCAAAAAAGGCATTGACAGTGATGAAGGCGAAAGTCCTCAGGTGAGGCGCCCAGCCGCCCCAGAAGACTTGACTCCGACGAGTAAATCCCCGTGGGGCTCATCACAGTCCTTCCAGAAGCCGCCCACAAGGATATCGCATGCACCTCGCTACACGAGGGAAGACTCCTTTCGCCATGCTGCTGTGGAGAGAGACAGCGACGATTTCTTTGGTACTCAGACAGAAAGCCGTGAGTCGCCGGATGGTGTCGGATCAGATTACAGCTATTCGCAAGATGGTGTCGAGTCATTTGGTGCCGGTAACACCTCTGATGACACGGAAGTGTTAGACGAGGATGAGAATGAAGGCATCGCACACAGTAAGCACAGCGCCAGGAAAGAGGCGGATCATGCACGGCGTATGAGACGGCACAACTTTGACTTCTCAAAGAGTACACTGATGCGAACCACCTCAATTGAGCTGCCTCGATCCTCTGATGTGGTAGGTTGAGGGGTTTTCCATGGCTTGTACACGTATCTCTTGTTTATCTGTTGTGGTATAGTTTCAGTCCTGAGTGTCATGCCCCTGGTCCATACTGCCATACCCTTTTGTCTATGAAATCGGTCATAAATCAGTGTCAGTGTCACCAATGCTGGCACACAGTAGAACAATCTCTGTTAGATGTTAAGCATGGTTCACTATAATTATCACTTTTGAGATGCCCGCGTGCAACACGTGTTATTTGCGGCAGGGAAATGCCTGTCGCGCACTGTTGCATGCAATCGCAAGCCCACTGCTGCAGAAGTTGACCAAAGTTCAACCTTTGCGACGTATGGCGTGCAGCATACATTGATGGAGTACGGTTTCTACGCTGGGTGGACGTGCTGTGGACGTGCATGTACTATGCACTGCATTGGGGTGTCGTAGAAACCAAAACAATTGTGAATATTGTGTCGCTGTCGAAGCTTGTCCCAGTTGTCGCAAGGTGCATGTCGCATCACCAATCGTAGTGCAGTCTGTATTGTGAATCGGCCTTCAGCTTTGTCTCTAAAGGAAAGACACAAGTCGCCTCCATTCTCAGGGGAGTCTCCGTAACCAGGACACCCCTGTACACAGGGCTCATATGCCTGCTTGCTGGACCTGGTATGCCCATATGGCATGGGGGCAGATACTCCTGATCGCTGGACCTGGTATGCCCGTATTGGAGGGGTGCTACTTTGTGTTATGTAGTTAGCTGCCTGAGAAAGCCTGGCACTGTTCCCTGTAATACGAATGCCTTCTCTAGTCTCTTGTCTAATGCCTACCTTTGTCTTTTTTATGTTCCTGCATGCACTGACTGTGCAGAGGGAACGTGTATTTTGCCACATTCCTCCGTCACTGGGTTAACTTCATTGGCACCATTGGGTTTTCTTCATGTTTGATATTCTCTGCCAATGATTGTATGCAGAATCCTGGTCTTGAAGCCACGCTGAAGACAGACAGTGGCTTGACGTTTTCACAATTGGGCGTGCATGCGGCTGTTGTGAAGTGTCTGCATGCTCTTGGTGTCAGGATACCCACTGACGTGCAGGTGAGGTGCCAACAATCCTACTGCAAAGCTCCGGGTACATGCCCATTTGAAATTCAGTCAAATACAGTAAGACCTGTCAAGGCGACCACTCTGATGAGGCTACCGCCTGTCTCAGAGGACCTCTGCAACTAGGACTAAGGCATGTTATTTCCTGGCAAATGAACGTGGATAAGGAGACCGCCCGCACACAGGGACCATGTTTTGAAGGTCATTTGAACGGTCACCGTAGACACATTTCACTGTAGCCCCATGATTTCACTGTAACCCAGTGACTTCACTGTAACCCCATGCCTGAAATAGCGATGCTCATGCGGTCGACATCTACTCTGATATAACGCCCATGTCCAAGTGTGCGCCTACTCTCCAGACCCTTGTTCTGCATGCCGGGGCGGGGATTACTTTTGAAGTTTTACGGTATTCACGTGGCACATGTTTGTGGCTGATAAAATTAGTGATACAGTAGTATGCTTATGCTTGCAACCATTGACTGAAGGAAATGTAGTGAGTTTGTCTTTGAAAGCAGAAATCTCACGTGCACTGACATGACCTAGCTAATCATTACAAGATACAGTCAACTTCGTTAATAACGACTGCGGATATAACGACAATTCGCGAATAACGACAGCATTTCCATGCCCAGAGCAAAGTCTCTTCCAACTGTAATACATATAATGAGACTTCGGGTATAACGACACTTCGCGAATAAGGACACTTTTTTGATGCCCCGCCGAATGTCGTTATAAGCGAAGTTGACTGTACACATGCCAAGACTTGGGACGACAGTTCTTTTCAAGGTTGTTTTCACACACTCCCTCCCCCCCCCCCCCATGCCCAGCACCTTGCAATACAGGAAGTGGCTGAAGTTACCTGCTGATTTTTACTCTAATTTTTGAGTCCCGGGTTATAGTGTACTTGCTGCGTTGAGGTGTTTCTGAGCAGATTGGGATACTAACCAGTGTGATGTGCTGCCCAGGTGCAAGTGTCCTCCACTTGTGCTTTTAGCCTAGTTATAAGTATCATATTTTAACTTGGATGTGTAAGTTTGCTAGATGGCTTGCATTCTGTCCCTTTCTAGGCCAAGGCTATTCCAATGATTCTTGAACGACAGAGCCTAATTGCGTCAGCTGAAACAGGTTTGTCTGCCATGCCCTGTGTGTGTGTGTGTGTGTGTGTGTGTTTGTGTGTGTTTGCGTGTGTGTGTGTGTGTGTGTGTGTGTGTGTGCGCATGTGTGTATGTGTGTGTGTGTGTGTGCCAGCTAGTTCGGTTGGTGGGTACACGTATGCCTGATAGTGTTGGGTCTGTTGCCAATGGGCTCGGCTGCTTGAAGGTGTAATGTTGTACCTGCCACCTTTGTTGGTTCCAGGGTTCATATACTTTCTATTTGAAGTATACATACCTGTTAACCATGAACTGCTTCTGGCTAGATTAACTCTTGTGTAATCAATGGTGCTAGTGAAGCTTATATCAGATCCACTCTGATTTAGCCACCCACACTAGTAGCAAGTATTACCTTCACTGGGGGCAGGGGTTCTGCAGTTGGATCCCAGGACGGATACCCTGATGCCGTCAATCCTTTTTCTGCACCTTGTCCTCACCCACTTACTGAGGTGTGGTGAGCCCATAAGTGGGATCATTTTCAAGTCCACCCAGAGTTTTGGGGATTTCAGGGGGTGTCGGCCGTTGGGCGGTTCAATAGCCAATTGAGTCATCTTTCCAAGATTCCTTTTGAGTCTCTCTCCCCTCTCCCGGGGAGACCCACGTGACCAGTTTTGGCAGTGAGCAACAAGTACAAGTACAAGTGTGTGTGTGTGTGTGTGTGTGTGTGTGTGTGTGTGTGTGTGTGTGTGTGTGCATTCGCATGTGTGTGTGTGTGTGCATTCGCGTGTGCACATGTGTGCCAATGCCTATGTGTTCCCATGTGCCCCTTGGTTTGCTCACTTTGCTGGCATGTGTCCTATTCATTATACATCATCTCCATCCATGCAAGTATCACAATGTATTGTTGGTTGAAAATCCATATAACACTCTGCTACTCAACTGTGTTCCATGTAGCGTGAGACTTACTCAACTGTGTTCCATGTAGCATGAGACTTACTCAACTATGTTCCATAGAGAGTGAGACTTTACTCAACTGTGTTCCATATAGCGTGAGACTTACTCAACTGTGTTCCATGTAGCGTGAGACTTAGGGCGCGTTCGAATTGTCTTCATCAACTGTTCTAACAAATTTTATAAAGAGATTAGTTGAAGTGTCCCATTAGAACGGTTTCTATCATTTTAGACTTTTTCAGTGGAATTGCCATGGCGATGATGACGTCCGATCAGATCGACCATCTCCACGTACTACGTGACGTAGCTATTCCAAACTTTTCGAAACTAATCCACCTTCCCATCGGATGAGTTTCGAGGAGTTTCGAGGAGCTTCGTTTTTCTGAAGAGGCCAATAAGGCCACCTCTTCAGAAAAACGAAGCTCCTCGAAAAGTCAAAGAGTGACAATTCGAACGCGCCCTTACTCAACTGTGTTCCATGTAGCGTGAGACTTACTCAACTGTGTTCCATGTAGCGTGAGACTTACTCAACTGTGTTCCATGTAGCATGAGACTTACTCAACTGTGTTCCATGTAGCGTGAGACTTACTCAACTGTGTTCCATATAGCGTGAGACTTACTCAACTGTGTTCCATATAGCGTGAGACTTACTCAACTGTGTTCCATGTAGCGTGAGACTTACTCAACTGTGTTCCATGTAGCATGAGCCTTACTCAACTATGTTCCATGTAGCGTGAGACTTACTCAACTGTGTTCCATGTAGCATGAGACTTACTCAACTATGTTCTATAGAGAGTGAGACTTTACTCAACTGTGTTCCATATAGCGTGAGACTTACTCAACTGTGTTCCATATAGCGTGAGACTTAGGGCGCGTTCGAATTGTCTTCATCAACTGTTCTAACAAATTTTATAAAGAGATTAGTTGAAGTGTCCCATTAGAACGGTTTCTATCATTTTAGACTTTTTCAGTGGAATTGCCATGGCGATGATGACGTCCGATCAGATCGACCATCTCCACGTACTACGTGACGTAGCTATTCCAAACTTTTCGAAACTAATCCACCTTCCCATCGGATGAGTTTCGAGGAGTTTCGAGGAGCTTCGTTTTTCTGAAGAGGCCAATAAGGCCACCTCTTCAGAAAAACGAAGCTCCTCGAAAAGTCAAAGAGTGACAATTCGAACGCGCCCTTACTCAACTGTGTTCCATGTAGCGTGAGACTTACTCAACTGTGTTCCATGTAGCGTGAGACTTACTCAACTGTGTTCCATGTAGCATGAGACTTACTCAACTGTGTTCCATGTAGCGTGAGACTTACTCAACTGTGTTCCATATAGCGTGAGACTTACTCAACTGTGTTCCATATAGCGTGAGACTTACTCAACTGTGTTCCATGTAGCGTGAGACTTACTCAACTGTGTTCCATGTAGCATGAGCCTTACTCAACTATGTTCCATGTAGCGTGAGACTTACTCAACTGTGTTCCATGTAGCATGAGACTTACTCAACTGTGTTCCATGTAGCGTGAGACTTACTCAACTGTGTTCCATATAGCGTGAGACTTACTCAACTGTGTTCCATGTAGCATGAGACTTACTCA